GCGTCTGCTAAATGACTAAATGTAAATGTAAATGTAAATGTAAAAGGTGAAATGTGGGACAGGGTGGTAAAGTTACACTTTACCATAGAAAAACATGCTGACATTCAGAGATTTATGAATTATAGTCAGTCTTGCACAGGTAACGTACATCATGGGTCAGCTATCATCTTATTTTTAATCATTAAAAAAAAAGTCAGGATGATACTCAAATTGGACTGGACAAATAACACATACAATGGAGGGCTCCAGACTAACATTTGAGAGCAGTAGCACCAGCGCCACTAAGTTCTACAGATGGTGGCGCCAGGAGCAGATTTGGCAGCACTGGGGGTGGCCTGCGGGAGTATTAAAATATAGATCATTTAATCATAAAATTACTATTGTTTTGCATTAATAAGTGCAGTTACTTATAATATTGCATGTTTATTTCTTATTATTCTTTTGTTTATTGTTTATACAGATCGGACAGTAAAGCACTAAGCTTGAGTTAAGATGCATACAAAATGTACTTTTATTAACAACAGTAACAGGTGCAAAATCACATTTTTATATAGAAAAATTATATATTCCACTCTTATTAAATGTACCATTATATGGAACTGACCAACTTCAGTGATTATGTGTGATTTAGCAGCAAATTGAAGAAAAGATGGTTTTTCAAGGCACTTTGTGACTTTTCTTACTTCATACACAAAATGTGTTGATGTGTGATCTGAAAAAAAATCTGATTTCTTGATGATTTTATATTTTATAATAGTGATTTTATCATTTCAAAATATAGAGAAAAAGTATAAATGAATGACTAATAAGTTAATAAGTGCTCCTCTGCTGCCGTCTACTCGTTATAATTGTGATTTGATGTATTTTTTTAATTTTACATAAGTGTTTGTTTACCACAAAGTATATTTTGGTCATCCCATTGAAAATAACAATCAAACTGGCTCATTTAACAGTTTTAAAGTGCTGGAAATATTTGTGTGAAATGCTTGAAAGTCATTGAAAAGTGCTTGAATTTCTCTCTCAAAAGGTTGTACAAACCCTGAAATGAATGATGTAATGCATTCGACTATTTCTACCATAACACCATGGTTATAGTTAGCGTTACCGCTTCTGGTTTCCTGAGGTATGTCAGCGCTGTTTATAACAGAGAATTATGTGCAGAATTTGAATGATTCTCAGATCTCGCAGCAACTTTATCATTGTGCGGCGAATTCAAACGCTTCTCACTGGATCTCGCAGCACTGTTGCATCTATGCAGTAACAGTGTTACGAAATCAACTTTGGCTCCTGAGTAAAGCTGTTCTGAGCTCGGACAAGTTTGTTTGCGTCGTGGTCTGAGCTGATAAATGGTCCGTGCTGCGCAGCTGAAATGTAGCGCTGTTTAGTTTAGCTTTCGTTTCGTTTGCTGTTTCTCATATGCAACAGAAATGGCAGTGCTTATGAGTTGGACAACGCGGTGGTCGCACCAGTGCGACCGCTCACAAAAATTAGCCGCCCCGCATCGCAAAATGCAACCATTTGGTCGCAGTCTGGAGCCCTGCAATGTGAAAATTATCTTTCAAAGTTGCAAATAAACATACTATTTCAATCTTATTTGACTTCAAAATTTCACTTTTAATTCAATGTGTTACTTGCAATAATTTGTGAAATTTATGATAACTGGTGCATCAAGGAATCTAGTGCTAGTTATTGCAATAATGTGAAATTATTTCCAGACAGAGCCTTTCGGCAAAAAATAAAGAGAATGTTAACTCTCTACACGATTGCAGAACATTTCTAGTCTAAAAATTGGCACAGTTGTTTTGTTTGGGAAAAATGTATTTGTTCTTTCCTCTTACAAGGTGCACAATTATATTTCAAATATGTTGTCAGACATACTGTGTGTGGTTTCTAAATGCTTGAAAATTGTAAGTGGAATAATATTTTTCTGCAAAAATGCATTTCCACATGTTTATTGAGCAATGTAATGAATGAAATGTACTAATGCAAAAACATCTAACATGCAAAATAAGTAGTAATATAATATACTGATGTATATATTATACCTGTAAGTACTGAATACATGTTCAGCAACTGTAACCATATCTCCTTGACACATTGAAAATCAGGAAACAACCCTTTTCACATTTATAACTGTAAAAGGCAACCGTTTGTCTCACTTTGAACTTAACTGAAAACATCTGTCAAGATTAATGTTACGTACATAGCTTTTATTATGTCAGTTCTGATAATTAAGCTGACTGTTATGTTGTGCATTGCATCTAAAGCATTTTATTTAGGGATGGTAATAACTTTTATTTTTTGTCATTTTGTGAATCTACATCTGGCTGCATGCCATGTTAAATGAAGACAGCAGAACTGGAAGTTGTGTGCCAGAACAAGCGGACAGAAGTCTGTTAAAATTATTCATACTATAAACTATACTATAAAAGGGCTAACTATCCCTTTAAGTTGTTATAACTAATTGCAGCAGCATTTTTACAGTGTACTTTTGTTTATTTTATTTTTATTATTATTATTATTTCGGTCATCTTGTTTTGGTGCCTGGGAACAAAGTATAGTTGGCGCTTTTGGGTTTAAGAAAATTGCATTATAAATAAAATTCATTATTATTATTATTATTTATTTATTTATTTCACTTGAATTTTGAAGTGGGATTTTCAATAAACCTGGAAAATTGCTACATGCTACAT